ATTTACATAAAAAAAATATTATGATTTAGATAGTTAACTAACCTAATGTATATATTTATTTCTAACATTTTTGATATTGAAGTAGTTAGTATATATCATAGTTGATGGCTAGATCTTTGCTCCCAGATTTAAAAACAGGAATAACTACCGCCTTTTTCAGGTACGTAGGAAAAAGCCCTTCAGAAAGACAGAGGCGGAAAATATATGTAAGCGAAGGTAACAAAATATGTTTGAAACGTTCAAGTATTTTATTACTTACACTCTATTTCGCCTTCATCAGTGTCGAACATGACAAATGATTTCAGACTAGAGCTGTGACTTGCTTTTTGAAGAGGTGTAGTTGTATGGCAACTAGTTTGTTGCCAAGTTCGTTCGCAAGTTTTACCTACGTTTACAAAATAGTTATTAAACTTGTTAGCTGACAGAAGTGATATAAGGTATTAGCATCCAGTAGACTCGAGTTTTATTATAAGTAACGTTTTTGAAGTATAAGTAACGTTTTTGATATGTTTCCAAATTTCCTTACCATTTTTACCTGCTTTATGAAAGATATATTTATCGTAGTTAATTTTGAATTTTTTCAAAAGATTATTACAGAAGTTTCTATACCTCTTGTATGTTGTTTGAAGCACCAAATTATCAGCATGTCGACGAGCGCTCTGATGGAGTGTGTCTCTATATTTTATACAACGAACTAGACCAGGGGTGATCTTAGGTTTAATTTTGCAATACTTATTTTTCAAAACAATTGTGGATATGTTTTGTAATATTGCTTGTTGGACATTCTGTATTAAGTAAGATGAAGATACATTAGCGTCAGCACTATTATAAACTGGGTTAATATCAACATTACATAAATCATACTCGGGTTTTTTTATATTTAATTTAGTCTTTGTTGTAAATCGATCGACAGTATGTAGAATGGCGTGATGGTCAGTAAAGTCGAGTTAGTAACTAGCGTGATAGATGATAAGCTGGATTTGATCATCACATGATCGAGACAAGAACTGCTCTGATGTATAGGCAATATGTGCGCAGGGAGAAGCCCATAGTATGAGCACAGATTAAGGTAATCTTGTGTTCCTGTATCGTGATGCTCAGATCCGATATTTACGTTTATGTCACCTGTTAGTATGATATTCTTACAAACAGTCAGTGTTTGAAGAGTCTGATTTATGAAAGGCGGCCAAATTTCTTACTGAAGGAGATCACATAGCGATAATCGCTGTATTTGTGCCAATTTTGTTAACTAAACAGTTACAGTCTTGTAAGGGTGGTTCTTCGATTGAAACCTGAAAAGACTCCTTAACATATACTACCACCCCATCGTTTTGGTTTTGGTTTATAATGCTGAGGTGTATATTATATCCGGCTATTAGTGGGAGAGTTTCGCGTCGATTAGATACCCAATACTCCGAAAGGACGATTACATCACATGCAATATTTAGTTTATGTTAAAAAGTAGTAGTAAAATATACATACATTCTTATAAATACTACGTATATTTTGGGTAAGTATGGTTAGTGGATTGTGATAAACCGTAAGATATTGCCTGCAGTCCTCTACTGTGCACGCTTCCGAGTCTGAGACAGAAACATTATCTATTTCTGTTAAAAAATTGAAATTCATAAACGAATGTTACAAAGAGGTAGATCTAATGTATACAAGCGACATTGTGTATACATCTACTGCCGTCAGATTTATCTCCTTGATTTATAATATTTGAAAACGTCCATTCCGTAATGAAGGTATGTGTGCCCCAATGTATCCCAATCGATCGTCTGAGCAAAAATAACATGACAATAATTTAATAATGTGGATCAAGTAACAAAGAAAATTTATATAACAATAAAAGTTGGTTGCGAGGTAAACTTATATCACTGCTTTATCAATATTCTGACAAAGTACAAGGAAAAATTGGTGTCGATCTTTGATAAACGATATCAGCCATCTCACTAACCTTGTTGTATTAAAGAATATTGGAGTTGGTATATACTTTAATTAGATTTGGAAAAATATTCACTCTAATGCAAAAAGGTAGAGAAATATCTGAAATTCCTTAGTTATTTTTTGAGATGTAAGTACAGATTGAGTTTTCTTAATATTAAAATTGAAGTGTTGCCGAATAAAACCTAACTATTTCAGGATTGAATTTTTTCCTCAAAGTGATTACAATGGTTAAAATCATACAAACGTATTTCAGTAAGTACTTATTCTTTCTATATAGATAAGGGATAATAGCTGAGAATTCAAAAGCATTTAAATATTTGACAGTGGGTATTTTGTATTTTGGGTATTTTGTCTGGCCTGTTGGGTTAGTGGTTGGTAATCCTGACTGCTTAGCCATAGGTCGTGGGTTTGATTCCCACCCAGAACAAATATAATTGTAGGATGAGAATGATTATTTGATCTGTGTCTGGGTATAATTTATCTATAGTATAAATGCATTTAGAAATATAAAATTATCTTTAATTCGTGTGTGAGATCTGTGAAGTTATTATTATTATTGTTCTATAATTATTTAAAACTCAGTGTAAAGTGTATGTTGGTATAAGGTAAGGTAAGGTTTTATATAATCTGTTAGTGGAGAGTTTAAAAAATGGAACATCATTCTATACTGAGAAATTTACAGGTAATAATCGAAATGATATTGTAACAGATCTAACTGTAACTAGATCCCGTTTCTATATCGCTTTTAAGTATATTAATTAAATCAAGTCCTTTATGTACCCAAAAATCCTTAAAAACCTTTTGATTGTTTTCTAACTCAGTTATATATAAAAATGCCTATGTAAGGGGTCTCCTTAAGTATCTATAAATATTCTACTTCACACCAAAGGAATTAACATAAAGTTATTTTAGCTGTCCATATCTCGACAGTAAAAGAACTCGTAAATCAAATAATTTCATGTAGTACATAAATTTCTTACAATCCATTACTTCTGCCCCACTAAAAGTTCTCTGTTTAAAGGCATCGTCGCCTTTATTGATACAACTTTATATGTTAAAATATGCTATTAGAAATGTTTAAGTTTATAAAAGTGTTTGTTTTTTATTGACCAACCATGAGGTAGATTTGGTAGAAATTTGTTCAAAGCAACTAATAGCCATATACATAGAAACATAACCAGTATTTATTGGTAAGGTACTATTTCGTACTAACAAGTTAAGTAGAATAAAACATGAAAATATTACGTAAAAAAATACTCACATTCCCATATTTTTACATTACTTACTACAATATTCTCTTAAGCCAAATATCTCTACTTCGCAGGGGCACACACATACGTTAACCTAAAATAAATGTACCTACTCCAGAAAGAAAATTCTTATTACGAAAGACAATTTTGTATTAAAGCTTTTAACTTAGGTAAGAGTATGACAATGAGAACCACCAAAATGTAATTGTTTCAATTTAGCATAAATATCTATTAAGTGTAATTGGTTTGAACTCGCTTTTCTGTATAATCAAGTAGAAAAAGACAGGATTCTTCCGGTCCCTCGCTACAATTGTTCGCAAGATCTTATAGGATAAAAGGGTCAAAGCACTCGGTGAATTCAGCTATTCACTTTCCTACTTATTCGTACTACCCACATAATTCACTATTTTCTGGATAAATAATGGATGGATATTGAATTACTGGAACTATTAAACGTTTCACATGGATTACAAATACGTATTGGCTGAAAATAACGTTGTTAAAGGCTTACAAAAATGTACTTTTCAGCCATTATTTTTTGTTTGATAAACTTAATATAACGTAAGTACATCGATCAATCTGCGTTATATCTTCACATCTGTGGTCCGTAAAGGCATTGTGCTGATTTAGCATCTGATGTTATTAGAGTATAGACATTCAGATTCTAATAATCGATAACGCCGAAAATGGTGATGTATTTGGCGATATTTTAAAACTACTTATATAAATTACTATCGGAACCTAAATGTAAAACAACATGATTAAATGTGGGCTTTCCAGCTTCCCGCTTTACCAGCACTCATGGAAACGTTTGGATACTAAGCTGTGGTCGAGAACTCGGGCCAGCACTCGGACAGGTATCCCGTCTAGCCCGGGGGCAGTGTCTTTGGAGCGGATCCGTAGAACAGCCGCCCTTGCCTACGAATCCGTGACAGGCGTTACATCTTCCTCGTTTCCTCCGTCGTCTCCGACCAAGGAAGGGGTGTGTGTTCCGCTCATTGCGGGGAAAGGCCCTAAACCGCTGTCTGCAGAAAGCTGGGCTGGAGAGTCTCCGTAAATGGGGGGTTACGCGTGGAGCTTATGTTGCGCCGCGCGATAGGGACGACCCCAGGGTGACGGTCGAGACCCTCAAGCATCTCTTATCTCTTTATTTCTTTGGCGCGGCTAATGGCCAGCTACAGAATTTTCCGCGCCACTCGGTACTCCTCATGAAGCCGGTCAGGTACAGGTCCGCTCTCCGGGGACTACCAGTTGACCTAAATCTTTGGAGGCCGACGACCTCGGATGCGGGGCATGGTCGCATTGCAGATCTGCGTAATCGCATCGCGAAAGCGACCAGCTCCCATGTCGACCTCCTGGGTCGGAGCCTGAAGAGAGAGCCAGGAGTGAATTAAGGCTGCCTCCTCTAGTAGGTCCTTGTTCAGTCTAGGAACGCCACGCCCCTACTGGAGTTCTGGGTCCAGGAGAGCTCAAATCGGATATATAAGTGATCCGAGAGCGTCTCAACCTTTTCCAGGGCAGTGACAGTTGAGTGCAAATTATCAGTATAGACATACTTATGCGTTAATTTAAAAAATTACAAATACTTTCGTGTTACTTATGGATGTTTCGGCGCGCTCCGTTTATATATTTTTTCAAAAATGAATTTAATTAAATTTTTGCAGTTTTCATAACTTTAGTATTTGATTTATTAGTAGAATGATAAGTGATATTTATGAATTTATGGTAATCTAAGATAATAAAGCAACTAAAATATAAAATATCTTACAAGGGCAAGCAAATTAAGTGGAAAATTATATCATGGCTAATACGAGTAATAGTGACGATGAAGATGCAACAATATTGGACGAAGAATCTGTATCTAAAGTTACAATTGAACCTGCAGGTACACCAGAGTCTATTCCTGATCAAGAAGCAACTCCAGGTCATCATGACTCTCCATTGGACCGTGCAGTGCGCAATTTCAAACGTATGTTCTGAGACATTATATACTGCAACAATCAGAATCATTGATCTTTGAAACCTACGAATGTTTTGGAGGCAGCTACGAATATCAAGGCGTTGATTGAAGAAATTATTATACAATACCAGAAACCTCACGCTATGCTCACAATAATGGTTCAGTCTTCACAACGCTCAAGAAATGACAGTTGTGCCTGTATCAAGATTCGAAGAAATAAGAAGAAATTTTAAAACCACCCACATCGCAATATTTTAATAGAGCTAAAAAAAATATGCGCTAAAAGATGCATCACTTTAATTCTTCTTTGAGAAAGCCAGAACCCAGCCTGTAGATGAACAAATGGTGAAGTTCAAAGGGCATAACATCGTAAAGCAAAACATGCAAAATAAGCCTGTGAAGAGAGGTTTCAAAATTTAGTGCCGCGCCGATTCTAAAACAGGGTATTTATTCCAATTCGATTTGTATATAGGTAAAAAAAGATCGTGGCCAGAAACAGGATTAGAAGAGTCAGACGTCTAGTACGTTTGCGTCAGTCTCAAATCTGTACGCATACAGGGAAAACATACTCGTGTATACATTCAAACCAACCTTATGCTTGTAGGCGACTTCTTTAATTATTTTTAAAATATTTTTGCTTAGTTTATCTTAAGAGTACAGCTGTTTTGCTTCAGAATTTAAGTTTTATGTTATACTTCATTTTTTTTTTGGAATATAATGGCTAAATTCCATTCTATTTATTTTTTCAAATGTGTTAAAGCTATTTAACTACATAATGTATGGATTACATTTACATGTGTGGTTCAAATCGTTAGTTGTTTGAGAACGTTGCTAGTAAGGGGCATTAATATGCGGCTATCACATAACTGTGATATGAAAGACTATTCCGAGTGTGGAATAAGAATACAGAGTGTCACCACCCCTTTTCATGCCGTGGGTGTCGTAAGAGCCGACTTAGGGAGCAAACTACGTAGGACAAAATCACTGCAAAGAGAAGGCAAACTTGACACAAATCCTTTGCCAACCCGTCTGGCCAACGTGGTATAGTAGGCAAAAACCTCCTTTCTAAGGAGAGGCCTATATCCAGCAGTGGACTATTAAAGGCTGTTAATGGCAATGATAATTAAACACAAAATCTACACACCTGTAAACTTTAACTACGTTTTACTAATAAGTGACCTGTGAACAGTGCTAAACACAATTAAAAAACTAATAACACATTGTTATTGCTATTCTTACTTAGGCTTCTAGTTCGACATAGATAGTAACAATCAAACTAAAGTAAACGAAAGATTTAGTCGTGCTATAAGTTAGCGAATAAATGCGAGGTAGCGTATCATACGCTCTATACGTTGGTGTTGCTGCCACTATCTCGCGCCTGATGTATGTATGTTGAAGCTTATTGAAATTCCGTAACGCGTCGTTTCGATCCTTTTATGAAAACATACTCTTGTTTACAGCCCGTTACTCAAAAACTTTAACATTGTTAATGAAAAAAAATGGTCTCGTGTTTCTTTTGCTATTTTTAAATTATATGAAAACTCAACTACAATATAAGCGCACTCTAATAACTATAGGTAATCGTATAAAAACATAAGCTGTGTTTAAATACCAGAAGCAATATACACACAAACTAAAATTAATTTCAGTTAAGATATGACAAGCTATTTTTATTAAATTTTAACAGTACAGTTTAACAACAAATTATTACAGACTTGAACTCCTAAATTTGCGGCGTTTTCTTTCAAGGTAAATAAATATTATATCACGAAAAACATATCATAATCCAAATCAGCAAAACGAAAACACGTAAAACCTAAAGACGGAAGAAAAAGTAATAGACGGTAATTAAAATCGAGACGGTCCTCAGTACGTTTTAATGCGTTCATTAAAGCTGACAAATACTCGTATTACGTACACCAACATCTTGCTCTCGGTTTCAGTCTTCAGTTTGTATATTTAAAACGTGATACATATTTCTTAAAATTTGTGTTATTGTGACCTGTATACTTGCTTTTTGCATTCAAAAATTTTACCGAATTGTCTGAATAACCAACGATTTCTTCATTCAACAAAATTAACTATAAAGACTAGGTAGGAAGCTCATAATTTTTTAGGGTTTTGGGGACTTTTTTACGGGTGACTGATAATTTTACGGTAACCGTTTACATCAAATAACACCTTAGTACTTTGGAAAAAGAATTCCTCTCAGTTAATACATAAAAAACAGATGACCTTAATCTCCATTTAGGGTTTTTACGAACAATATAAATTAGAAGATCTTTTCCTTGATAGATCGTAAGGATTGACTAAAGTTAATTCTTCTGATTGGTCAGGGGGACGGGGTTTGACCGATGCGTCACTATTTTCTTAACTTGAATACACTACAGTTAAATTTAAATCGCTCGCAGTCCGGGGTTTTTTTTCTAGCAGAACCAAATACACAGTTGAAACCAAGCATATTATTACAGTATTTATTTGAGTTGAGATATAAAAAGTCACCTGATGGAAAGTGACTAATGCTGCCCACAGACGCCTGCAACCCAAGAGTCACAAGCGTTATAAGTTCCATGCTTAAGTGTAGATCCATTTCTTTGGCAGTAATTAACTGAATACAGCTTATACTTAATACAGATATTAGGCTACATAGGCTTATAAATCCCCTTCGGTAACTGTAAAACTCGGTTCGTACTGACCCAGTTTCGGGCTAAGCACGTATGCACATTTTGCTGCGCAAAATCAATGGGCGATACCTATACATACCTCAGTGGCCGTTTCCCCTCCATGATAAATGTAGACAGTGACTTTGTTTTCTCTTCTCACATAAGAAACTGACAACGATATGCACCTTTTTTTGTGTAGAAACATTTGTTGTGGAGTTTTTGTTGTGTAAGGCCCTGTCCGCACAGTGTTATTTTACGGCGCGTTTTTTTCACTAAATTCTGTGACATGGAATCCCTATACTATACTACTATACTATCCCTAGTGGCGGAAAAATCGCTCGAAAAAAAACCATGATTTAATACAAAATGAACGCAATATGGTGGCGATTTATTTCCCCAAAATTTTGCGAATTTAAAAAGGCGCTGTGAAATATCGCTGAGCGGACGAGGCCAAAATGAATGCGATATAGAGGCGATTTATTTCCACAGAAATTTGAATAAAAAAACGCGCGGTGAAATATCACTGTGCGGACGGGCCCTTGTGGAATCAAACTAATTAAAATCACATGGTTTGTCTTACTGCGCCTAGATATGAGGGGTCCGTGAACAGCTTTTATTAAGAAATTTAGACCCCTCTTATCGCCTACGCCCGGGCGGGCAGGGGAAAAACCCGTCCCGACTAATGAAGGCGGGCTGGCTGCTCCCGGGCCGTATGAAGGCGAGTCTAAGTAGGTCCGAGTGGCGATCTCTCGATTCTATGTTTTCTCTACCGGTAGGATTTCGCGGACTACCTGCTTCCTACCGCGGTCCTATAAGTGCTGGCAGGTTCCAGAGGCTTACCGGCTTCCTACCGCAGTCCTATAATTGTTGGCAGGTCCCAGACAATTTTAGCCATTCGGAATGTACATTTGCATTTAACCTCTCCACGCTTAACCTGCTGAACCGATTTAGATGAAATTTGGTATGGAGATACTTTGATTCTTGAGAAAAGCGACACCGACATTTACGCGGACGGTGCTGCGGGCAAAAGTTAGTTATATGAACAACTGCTACTTCCTCTAGAAACGTAGCGTTGATACTTTGTAGCTCATAGTGGACCTTAATTGTTTCAGAGCACTCTAAAAGCAATTTAAAAACAAGTCGGCTGAGTCAAATGGTCAATTCTGAAATTTGAATCCATATTTGATGTAGCGTAAATATTCAATAGAATGGCATATTTATATTGTTTTTGCAGAATGTTTGTTTTTGTACATGATTTTAACATAGCAACGTTGGTAAAATAATAGATAAGCTACAAAAATCCAATAATTTTATCTCCAATCTATGTAAGATAATTAAATAAATATTTGGCGGAGCAATACAATAGCAGCATATTTTTATACAATGTACGAGAAGCCACTTTGTTAGAGTTTGTTATGGTTCTCTAATTCGTCATTAATTACGTTTTCACTTTGACCCCTTTTAAAATAATTTATTAATTCTGTCAGAATACTTTTTCTCTTGATATTTCTGCTGGACGACACAAAACTCGATTATGAGTAACTTGGTAAATACTGGGAAGAATAAGTTCCGTAAGTAATTTTATTCTAGGTTATCCGGTTTTAGTCTTGAAGAGTAAACTTCAAACAAAGAGATATGAAAGCTTGCTCCTCTCATTACATCACCAAGAATCTCTCGAACAAAGTTATAAGTTTGTGAAGTTATCACTGCAGTGAATTGTATCATTTTATCTTTTAAGTTTATAGTAGAGGATAACCTCTACTATAAACTTAAGTAACTCACCAGATTCTTGCTAACTAATAATAGTTAGCGAGAATCTGGTGAGAGAAGAATAAGTAACACAAATTTCTTTTAAGTTCACCAAAAATCATTTGCAAGATTTATATCGCATCTAGTATCAGTAAACAAATCAGATTTTTTGTTTCTGATTTTTATTTGTTTACTGTTTTTTATAGCGTTTGGAAAATGTTAGAACGTGTATGTCATTCGATACTATGTCACAATCACAAAGCTCGCTCTGATACGATATCTGGCGTCTGCCAAAACTAATTTGCTTATCAGACGAAATTAAATATTTATACTTACATAAGCGCATTATTGGATACCGATACTTGTATATGTGTGTGCTATTTGGTTTATTTTATAAAGAATGTTGCAAATATTCTACGAGTATACGTACTAATGAACTAAAAACATCTTTGTATTTGTTTACTATAGCTAAATAACAAACACATATTCAGGTTACCGGCGCCCATATTTCTTTCCTAACAAAATAATCAACATTTACTCACATTTTAAATTATCAACATTTTATTCATTTACGATTACACAATAAAATCTCTAGGTAAGCTCAATCATTTTCTTTTATATAAATTTGAAAAAGAAATCAAATATTCAGATAATGATCCATAGACGGGCGTAAATAAATATCGAGAATTTAGCAACGAATGAGAAATCGCCAATCTTTTACAAAATTCACCCAAACCCCGATGTTACCTTTTCTCCATCGTTAACTTTAATGATTATCCCCTTCCCACCAACAACCAGCACTGAGATTGATCAAATGGCGT